TGTGACTTTGAAATTCATAATTTGTAACTTATAAAAAGAATCTATGGTCTCGAAATAATTTGCGATCTACAAAAAATTTTATCTATGACCTCGTAATAACCCGTGACCTACAGATTTTTTGACCCGTGACCTCGAAAAAGTCGTCGGATCGGAGCAGTCGCCGAAATTAAAGTGCGTCGGAGTAGTCGCCGATCACAGAAGTAGTAGTCGGAGCAATGGGGGTGTGATGGGTTAATTTTATTATATTACAGTTAAATATTTAATTTAATATAATAATTCTAAAATGTAATTAATTAATTGAAGAAAAACCTGATTTTTGTAATTGCAAACTTTGGAACCTGATTTTTAATTTTGGAATAGTAAATACCTGAACTGTAAATTTTTCCCCCTAAACACCCCTGTACTTGGGGAAATGATCTTACAAGTAACGTGCATGGAAATAAATATGTAAAATAAGAAGTAAAATCATTATTGTAGAAGTGCAGGATCTGGCATGTTAGAGTTGTACTTTTCATTATGGGTACCATAATCTATGATTTTTTTTTTTTTTTCGTGGAATTAATTTGATAGTTATATTTATGGTACAGTGTCGAATAACAATTTTCTGTTGTATTGCCCTCTGCAGGGTTTAGGGTTTTGCTGTTAGAACACCCACCATTCCTTTCCCTCTATTTTCCCTCCCTCTCTCTCTGCAACAATTAGTCTCAACCAGGTATGCCTCTGCAAATTTGTTAAATATTACTTTCTTCTGTTTGTTCATTCATTCTGTTTCTATGTAAATAATAAAGCATCATTTTTGTCTCTTTCAGGTATTTAAATATGGCAAGAGGTCCTATAAGACACCTCCTAAATCTGTATTCCTCCAAGAACAAATTTTCTAGGGTTACAAGTTTTCTTCATTCCAATCGATTCCTCCATTGTTTACACCCATTTGAATCCAGATTTTACCCTCCCCCTCATTCTCAAATTACCAACCCTACCCAATTTAAGCCATCTTACTTCACCCAATTTTCAGATTTTTACATTTTCCCATACTTCCGTGTACGCACGATTTGCGCACTTTTGGATAATGTAAAAAAGGAGCCCGCTTTAAACTTATCAGAAAAGATAGAACGCGAACCTGAATCCGAATGCGGTGGTGATGGATTTACAGAGAGGATAAATGAACTGGGAA